ATTATTATTACAATTAGATAGATAGATAGAAGAGAGAAAGAGAGAGAAAGAGAGAGAGAGAGAGAGAGAGAGAGAGAGAGAGAGAGAGAGAGAGAGAGGGGGAGGGGAGGTGGGGCGGAGACAGAGACAGAGACAGAACAAGCAGGGGAGGAGAGTAAAGTTGTAGAAACATGAAAACGAAACCAGACAAACAGACAAGCGAACAGCAAGAGCTACCTGTGGCAGTATAGTGAGTCTACTCCTGAGGTCATGTAGCCCCATGTCCGAGATGTTCAGGCCGTCTATGACGATCTTCCCGCCGGCCGCCTCGATGATGCGGAACAAAGCCACAGTCATGGAAGACTTGCCGGCGCCCGTGCGGCCCACGATACCGATCTGGAGATAGATGAACGAAACCGAAAAATATTGGTGAGTAAAATACTTACATGTTATAGTGCTTGCAGTCTAAAAGAGAGTATATTTCAATCTTTGCTAAGCGTAAACAAATCCCCCTATGCCTACGCCTTCCTTGATTCGGTCAGGCTACCGGACTCGCAATCCTGAGGTTGCGGGTTCGGGTGTTCGAGCCACGGGCCCGACGTTGTGTTCTTGGGAAAGGCACTGTATACGAATTTTCCCCACTTCACCCAGGTGGGAATGGGTACCCAGCTATATACAGTGAAATATCTTGTCAGTACGTTTAGTGTTTTATCGCCTATAAGGTAGCTTGCACTGTATGCCTCCCAGGAAGTTGAGGTTGTTTCAGAACGCTCTCGGGTCTGCTGGGGTAACTGTATAGATTGTGAAGCGCATAGAGCTTGCTGTTGACCGGGGATTTGCGCTATACAAATGCTACCTATTATTATTATTGTTATAATGTATTGACCACGTCTCTCCTTTTTCTTTCAGGTCAGGGAAGTTAAAATCTCAACGGAGAGAAGTAGGCAAAGCCGTATCGAGCATCGTGTTTTAAAATCATCTGCCAAGACTCATATGGCCATTATGCCGTTTATCATAGACATAATGCTAATAAAAAGTAACATTATCATGGTCTTAGAATCTTGAAATGCATGATATAGACATGCATTTAAAAAAGCTAAGGTAATGCTGCCCCTGGCTTGATGCTCACCTTCTGTTTAGTTTTAGTACGAGTTTTACGGCCCTTACAACACCAAAGATTAGAAGTTTTACAAGAGGGTAACAAACACACAAAAAAGGAGGAAAGATAACAACCATAGTTGTTTGATAGGAAAGAAGGACCAAACCACACCAGAGCACCCGCCAACCACCCATGTGCTCACCTTCTCCCCTCCCTTGATTTGGCAGGAGATATCTCTGAGCACAAGGTCAAGGCCAGGTCTGTAGCGTGTCTTGTACTCATTGAACTCCACGTTACCTTTCTGAGGCCATTCTGGGTCCGGCCGGCGGTTAGGGTAGACCCAGTCGTCCTGTGATTGACACATGATAAACAAAGAAAGATTCGGAAAAGCCCCAAAAAACAAAGCGAGGATTGTATATTCATAGGCATATATTTTTACATCCACATCGAAACAATTTAGACTATTTAGGCAGTGCACCCGTTGTCACATCACATCTACGTTTCCCTATCACATTCTGTCCCACTTTCTACATCCACGATTTTACACGATTTTGACCAAATTTTGCAATATGATGTAACCGACTACCAGCTATAACATAAACCTATAAAAGGGACGGGGAGGGGGCGTATGTAAATAGATAACTTTGTACGTACCAAAGCTAACCTAAAATGAAAATGTATAATAATAATAATAATAATAATAATAATAATAATAATAATAATATAAAAAAAATACTAATACTAATACTAATAATAATAATAATAATAATAATAATAATAATAATAATAATAATAACGAAGACCACTTCTACAGCGCCCACTCATTGCAATACGAAAAAGCATATCTAGACTAACATCCGGACTTCGACTGATTACGTGAATAAGCTAAATTGGGCGCACTGTTTATGTGATTAGCGTTAGTCACGGCGAGCTAAAGTATTAAGCTCAATAAGTGGTCAACCAATAAATATTTCGTTCTTGCCATTTTCAACGTAAAACAAATCCTCCACCATTGGTAAACTGATGAACTAAAATAGTAATTTACTGAATATAAAGTAGAGTTGCCCCATCGATGAATTCAGGACAACTTTCAGTGCAAACACTGATAGTAATAATTTTCTTACTGGTCATTGAGCCGTTATAGCTTTTATCCACTATCCTGTTTAAAAATAACCGTGGCAAGCAATTTTGAGTTGTTACCTGAAATGTGGATGTAATTATGGCAACAACAGCTTTAGATAGGATAGTGGGTCATCTCCCTTTACGTACTGAAACAGTAGCTCAGTTGGTGCCAAGCTGGACTACAGTGCAAGTGACCCACACGCGCTGGATTAGCAACAACAGCAGCATCAACAATAATAAAAACGATAACAACAACGACAGCTGCAACAACAACAACGATGACGACGACAGCAACTACATCAACATGTTAACAACGACATCAACAACAACAACAACAACAACAACAACATCACCACCACCACCACCACCACCAATAAAAACACAACAAGAACAACAATAACAATGACGATAACTGCGACGACGAAGACAATAACAACAACAACAACAACAACAACAACAACAACAACAACAACAACAACAACAACGGCAGCAACAGCAACGACGACAGTAAGGGCAACAACAACGAAGACAATGATGGCAACAACAACAACAACAACATCAACAGCAACAACAACAACAACAACAACAACAGCAACAACAACACCACCACCACCACCACAACCACCACTACCACCACCACCACCAACAACAACAACAACAACACTCCTCCCTGGGGCCGCTGATGATATCATGTAGTAAGTACAAGTAATTTCAGGCAATTTAAACATTATTTTAGGTATACATCATTCGTCCCAGACCACAGAAATAAGTTAAAGTAGTGTTTAAAAAAAAAAAATTATTTCTTCTTACCTCCCGTGGGGTGTATGTGTATTCCCGCATTCTTTCCACGGACACGATGTTGATTTCAGCCTCGCTCAGTTGTTGTACAAGCATCTGTAGGGCCACAGTCATCTACCATAGAGTGACAACAGGAAAACCTTACAGAACATTCATTGTAAAGCGAAATATAACTAGTGGACACGAAAATATTAAACTTTACTTTTAACTAGGTCACCCTCTATCGTCGTTAAGCGTCGAGGGGAGATGCGAAGTATAACACGTGGACACGAAAATAATTAAACTTTACTTTTAATTAGTCACCCTCTATTGTCGTTAAGCGTTGAGGGGAGATGCGAAATATAACTAGTGGACACGAAAATATTAAACTTTACTTTTAATTAGTCACCCTCTATTGTCGTTAAGCGTCGTGGGGAGATGCGAAATATAACACGTAGACACGAAAATCACAAAACTTTACTTTTAAATTGTCACCTTCTATTGTCGTTAAGCGTCGAGGGGAGATGCAGTTTTTTTAAATATTAGTATTAGGCCAACTCTGCAGCTCTTTCAGTTGCAATGCTAACCTTTTCAGAGTTTCCTTGCCTCACTCAATCCATCTATTGTGTGTGGCCTATCTCTTCCTTTAAAACCCGAGTACTTGATGCTACATAGGCAAAACACTACTAAATATGTAACTCACTAAACAAGAGACAATAAATAGAATATGATCTTAAATGATTTTAGAAAATGAATCAGATCCTAAATTGAAAAGCGAAGAATCAAATTAAATGTTTTTGAAATCTATTTCTTATGCTTATCAACCGACGTGTCACAAATACACACTGCAATACAAGAATAGCTGGCTACGGAGTGAGAGGAAGACCCAGGAAAAAATGGACTGAGGGAGTCTTTAATAGCTTGCAATCTCTGGTCCCAAGAGGCTGTCCAGTTTGCCAAAATCTGACCTCCAAAGCCCCCTCCCCTCACGTTTCCCCCCTCCTTTTCGCGACACCTAACAGTATAAGAGGCAGATAAAGTAAAGTGAAGTAAAGATCCCAAATGATCCAAAAGCAAGTGCACGGGGAAATGAAAGATTTAAACATTTTCAACCACGTTTGCCATTATGAAACTGATGCTTTTCCAAGAGGAAGTCAAACTATTTTTTATTTTGAAAATGAGAGAAAGGTGACGGCTCTGTCATACGAAATGGGATTTTTCTTTATTTCATTGATTTATTTCATATAGCAACATTCTTTATTTGTGCTTATACTTTCAGACTCAAGTTGTTTAGAAAGGGTGAAAAGATAAGTCTGATTTGTGAATATTTGTTGCAATAGCATACAGAGGTATGCCATTGATACACATCTGCATAGCTCTACCATCGATACCAAAGATTGTACATAACAAGATAGTTCACTCGGCCAAAAAAGTGTCCGCGGAAGTCCGCGCTTTGGTTCAGATGTCGCTGCGGTCTTTGTTTTGAAGCTCTCTTTCATTTCTCCTGAAGAAGAACAGGAATAGCACCCCCTTGTGCATCAGCTGTTCCGGTTCGGTCAGAGTGGAGTTTTGGGTTTCTTTTTTAAATTATAATGACCTCATGCCTCTCGTTCTAAAGCCAAATTAAACGAAGAAAACAGTCGCCTTTTTCACCTGAAGAGGGTTTTGTAAGGGCATAACCATTTAAAAAGGCGTTATTCCGAAATTTTAACTATAATTTATGCTAAAACTTGTTAGTTTCCCTTTGATTTTTTCCACACAAGTAGGGTAACTCTGTTCGCAAAGCGGGCGCTTTTTCAAAGAGGGCGCCACTGGATTTTGAGGACACTTTTTTAATTGGTTCAAAGAGAGGAACGAACCATCTTGTTATACAGAATCTTTGTCGATACTCACCTACATAGGTCTACCATCTATACACACCTGCACAGGTCTACCATCTATACACACCTGCATAGCTGTGGTCACTGACATCCCGACGATTTCGGTCTCAATGTCCGAGTTGGTCACAGCAAAGATGGCAGCGGCAAAGACGACTACGTTTCCCAGATTTTGTAAGACTAAGGATAACCATCTGCGGAGAAGGAAAACCCGTAACTGAAACGTATGACCTTCTTTTTAATATTGTTTATCCTCGTGAACACTATATGTGTCAAGACGGGGTGGGATCAGGCGCTCGTCAATTTTTTTGGGCCTGTGGAGTTATTGGCATCATCTTAAAGCTTGTTCAGTTGTCTGGCTATAGATGAGAAAAAAGCCCATCTACCTTGAACAGAAGTCAAGATATTTGAGATTGAAGAAGGTGAGGTTCCCTGGCTCAAGGTAAAATTGGCGAGAATATGGCTGCCAAAGTCTGGTTATTTCCTTAGCTTGAGAGTCCATGGAAATTGAAAATTTACATTTTCTGTTCCTTTAATTAATCAACGTCGTTTAAAAAAAAAGTAAAATCCACCCAGAAATGTGTTATTAATTGGACAAAAATGGTGGTAAGCCAAAATACAGATATTCAATAAAAACTGCCAAACTAACACAAAGATGCCAGTTCCTTCAATTTATTATTTTGACGAGTGCCTGATCACCACACTACCTCACATAATATAGATCAGTGCTTGCCAACGTGGGCGATATCGCCCACTAGCGGCCGATTTGGTAATTTGGTGGGTGGTGGGGATCACCTGGGTAAGGGCACGAGTTATTATACGTCCCGCTTGGAAATGCAGGTACGAGAAGGTTGGCCCCTTAAAGGTGGCAAAAGTGGGTGCTGGCTACAAAAAGACTAACAAGCACTGATTTGGATCCTTCAAAAGGCGAACTGCTTCGATTCTGTGGGGTATCTCTCTCTCTCTCTCTCTCTCTCTCTCTCTCTCTCTCTCTCTCTCTCTCTCTCTCTCTCTCTCTCTCTCTCTCTCTCTCTCTCTCTCTCTCTACTCTCTCTTTAAACTTGACTGGATTATGTTAA